TACGGAAAATAGCATGAACATTATAGATCATGTTGATAACACAATGAAACCTGAATCTGGCGCAGCAGCTCAGAAAGCATCCAATAATAAACTTACATACGTTTTGATGGGTTTTATAATAAAGATTTACTTCACGGTGCTGTCATTTCCATTTGAATGTAGCATAAATTAACAAGTTAAATTACTTGTGCTTTTTTGAGTTTGATATTATGAATATATAAATAATGAAAACATGTGAATAATCAGTATGATAGCTGTAAAATATATGGGAGATGGCAACATGCATAACTTGGTTCAATAACTTTATAGTGTATATACTAAATAACTTTAATTGATTTTTATATTTTTTACTTGAAATTTGAAATTGATGTTAGAAACCGTATGAGATTTATACTTTAAACACTCAATCCATTATCTTTTATTTTGATATTTATTGCTTGTACAAATCTGTATAATCTTTCTTGAGTCATTCAACTTATTTCTTGTTGTTTATGTAAGTTTATGATTAACTTTCTTCAAATGTTTGTTACAGTTTTTCGTTTTTAAAATAACGCATTTGTTTAACCACCATATTTTGCTTCATATAAACGATAATTGATGCGAAAATATGGCCACATAGTCTTGTCAATCTTCCTCATTTGAAATACATGTATATCAGAGTGTGGATATAAAGTATTTTTGGGCCTTCTTTCAATTTGCTTTGTTAATTTATTGATATCTTAGCTGATGAAATAATATGTTTTCTTTAATTTTGCACAAGTTCCTACCAAGACGGAATCCAAACCCTAAAGTTCCGGCATAGTTAAAAATAGTGTCAACAGTAAGGATAAGTTACATGTACAACATTTTTATTTTCGACATTTAGTTATTTTGTTACATAAAGTACTTATTTGTATGAGAAATATCGGAATAAGTATGATATAAAACTTCGAGCTGTTGCTCATCTTATAACATGAAAACTACAAAATTTTGTTAGTTTTATTCTTAGTATATTGTGTTACACATTAAGTAGTTAAAATGCCAAATATATTTTATATTAAATATTGCTGTATTTTAAAAATCTGCTTGAATCGACGCGTAAATTATCTTATTCATTGTTCATATTACATCGAAAAGAAACAATCTCTGTTCGTTCAAGATATGACCGATAATTTATGACCGATTTCAAGCAAATAAATACAAAATAAAAATATTACATAAATTTCATCTTTTAAAAATGCACATGGATAATTATGGCATTTCTATGTTGGCATTTGCCCAACTTGAAATTATTTTGATATTGTTGAGAAATACTTTATGAAGTTAATAAGTTAATAAGAATCCCACAAGAATGTTCAAAACAACAAAATTGCAATGTTGCAGGCTCTGTTTGATTGAGCCTGTTCATGGACGTCCACCGCCTCCTACCACCGGCTTAATTCGACATTTATTTAAACATGAAAATGTTGAAATTTAGAATTTAGAAACATTTGCTGATATGTTCATACTACGGTCATCATGAAACCTTCAATGCGACAATCTAATGCTCAATACATTATCTCTTGAATTAATTGTAACTTGTACAAATCTGTTTAACCTTTCTGGAATCATTCAACTTATGACTTGCTGTATTTTTAAGTTCATGATTACATTTCTTCCATCGTTTGTTTCAGTTTTTCGTTTTTATATAACGCATTTGTTTAACCTCCATATTTTGTTTCATATAAACGATTATTTATGCGAAAATATGACAGAACAACCAAACAGTCTTGCCAATCTTCCTCATTTAAAATACATGTATATCAGAGTGAGGATATGAAGTAGTTTGGGACCTTCTATTGAAATCTTAACTGATGAAATAATATGTAGTCTCCTTTATTTTTGCTTAAGTTTCTACCAAGACGAAATCCAAAGCCTGAAGTCCCTGCATAGTTTAAAATAGTGTCAACAGTAAGGGTAAATTACATGAACAACTTTGTCTAGTCATTACTTTATTTCTATTTTTTTCTAATCATTTTTATCTTCAAAATTTAGTTATTTTATTACATAAAGTACATTTTTGTAGTTGAAGTATCGGAATAAGTATGATATAAAACTTCGGACTGTTGCTAATCTTATAACGTGTAGCTCGATGTCCATTATTGAGAATTCACACGTACTTGTTTTTGTACTATCCACGTAATTTTTACATGTATTTATGTATTGAATAGCCGCAGAAGATGTAAAATTTTACAAATATTCGATTTCATGTATATGACCGGAGGAACAGAATCTGTTTTGTAGTAACATACATGTACTTATTTGTGTGTAAAAGGCACTACACAGTGCACTCCAATTAATGTTTTTGGAAAAAAGGTCTTGTACCAACGAGATGTTGTAGTGTTTTAGTTACGCGCGTTTTTACTTCATTTTTGTTGATTGTTTTACTTTACTTATTGTGATATTTCATATAGTGTTTATACATTTATCTATTTTAATGCTAGGTACAGGGTTGAGTCTCAATACAAATTGATCTATGATTTTTTTATTATCCAATTGATATTACCTTATATACATAGTTCAATGTTGTAACTTATTCTAGTTGTTATCATGTATCTGTTGTAAGTGCCAAACATAATTTTGATTCCTCATTCTAATCGAGTCATTTATATTCTGTTTTTCGTCAAATGGTTTTTGTTAAAAGCCCATTATGCTTTAGATATGATATCATTTTAATCATTTTAAACCTTTATTTTTTTGTTTCCTGTTAGAGGTTTCATAAAAAATATATATATTAATTACCTTTTGCCTCTGTTGCCCTGTATGCAATTGGTGTAATTATAGTGAATTAGTATTTTATTTTGTATGGAAGTCAAAATACTACTTTGTTTACATTTTGCTACCTTTACGGCACATTACTTCACGTTCAGTTCTATTTTTGTGAGTTGTTATCTCACATGCTTTAAATCTGTTATCAAAATATTCATAAATGATGGAAGGGTCTTAACAATTAATAAATGGATAAATGAGGCTGTGGGATATTTTGTTCTGGAATCTTTTTTATTTCGTTAGCGTACAGTATGTATATAAGATTACATAGACACTCTATGACATCTTTCAAGAAAAAACAATAAGGGTATAAAAAAACATAATTTGGATAATATATTCCATCAGATATAGCTTGATACACTTTAATACATGCATAATAATTTTATTCTAAACCTTTAACTTTATATATGTGTCAAAAAAGAAGCAATGTGTCGGTACGTCTTTTGCATTTTATCTTTTAACAAGATTATTAATAGTTTGCTCCAGTCCTTTGCCCACTTAGACAAGTTAATTCGAGCTAAAATATATGGTAAACGTTACAGGGGTAAATCTGACAGGGTTAGACTGTTCTGGTTTTGGATCAGCTTGGCTAGCTAAAAACATAAAAATATGCGAGTGACAATTAACAAAATACTCGTATTTTTAAATCGTATTTTGCGATATTCTAGCTCGATTTGAGTGTTTCACGTTGCAACGCCTGTCAATAACAGGTCACTTCTCACAATAAGATTTTTTTTTCTTAACAAACGGAGTAAACAACCGATCTGATCTGAAATTTTGGTCTATATCTACGTTAAATATAGCAAAAATCCCCCCCCCAAAAAAAAACCTTAAAAAAACTTATATTACCGTCATGTTTAAATACCTCAATGGAGTCACTTTAAAATTAATAATGTTCAATACATGTACTGTTCTCAGGTGATAGTACTACACACAACTTTTCTTTTGGCCTGATTTGATTGTTCTAGGTATGTCCTACTGTTGTTTTGTATCTTTGTAACTTAAGAAAAAATGACAATCACGGGACAGCTTTTAGATTAAATAAATAAATCGAATTATAGATGATAAGCAATTCGATACTTACAACTTATCAAATATATTTCCACCTTTATTTTGTCAGATCTTGACTATGTCATGTAAGTTTTTGTTTTATGCTAGCATGACATTAATGCAAAACAAAAATAAAGAATGAATTTGTTTGCTTCATCTCTCTTTATATCTTTGCCACGATTTAAAACCAAAGCAATAATAAAAAGAAATGAAACTGGTCAATTTATTCTTTTCGTTTGTAAAATATGACATTATTATAAGTCATATGCTGAAGGAAATCGATTCATTCGACATATTGGTATTATATCAAAAATGATATATGTGTTAATTGCAGCCTTGAGGTCGCACCTTCATAACCGGCAACAACTCTTACATTTGTTAAATCTTTATCATTTCCCGTAAAGAACTGATGCGAGGATCAGAATGCGATAAGTCGCATGATAATCGCCGGAAAACCCCGACGGTTTCACTAAGTGTATGTTACATCCTTATATGTAAATTAACTGAGGTCACGTGATATACGCTCACACACCTTGTAAACTAACATAGCGGAGAGGAAGACCATGTGTCTCTCACGTTTATACTACAGGTCAGGCTAATATTTGAAACGAAAAACGAAAGAAAAGTGCAATTATAAAAAATGACATTCTGTACTTGATCAGCTGCTGTCTTTGGCATCCATGTTTGTTCTGTTCTACTTAAAGGATGGATCAGGTGACCGATCTTGTGTTACTGATGACGTACCATTGCGTTATAATTAGAAAAAACAAATCAGCTTCGGAGATATTTCATCATTTTATTTATTATAGTAATTACCAATTTTAATTTCTTTTTCGCAAAATTATCGCATTTACCATAAAATCAAACCTTTCTGATTTTTTGTGTAAATTAAATTTACATAATATACAGGATCTTTAAATATAAACTTAATTCAGAGCCTGTTCACACTTTTGCAGTGTTTCATTGAAGCATCGAAGCGTTTTCTTTCATAATTTCCTACTCTACGACAAACTGTGTGCATCGACTGTTTTGTTTTCATCATCATCTTTTTATTTTGCATATTACATTTGTTACAATATTTTAGTTTAAATGTTACAACGCACTGACTGGGTGTATAAGCAAGTAAATATAATCATTGGTAGTGTAAACATGTAGAACATTATATTTATGCAATGGAGTGTTAAAAGTTTTTTCAGGGAAATTCATGACAAGAATATTAAAATGATCTAATCTATTCAATTCACGCTAAAATGACATTTATTACGATTTCTGTATAAATATTAAGTTAGATATTTCGGTTTTAAGTGTGAATTTATCTAAATATGCTGAACGAAATTTAGACGGAGTAGTTTTAAAAGAAATCATGTGACTTGAACAAACCCTGGGAGTTACAATAACAGATATTTTGATATATGTTTAAAACAAGTGTAAGCCGTTCATTTGACATATTCTTTAATGTTTTCAGAGTTCATGTTGACAACTATTGGGAAATTTTAATGCTCCTACCTGACCAACGTGGATCAAGTTAGGAAAACACCTTTATTTACTCTTTACAAGGAGAAAAGTGTTGTTCCTGTGACTGAGTAGTGTATTTTCGAGGCTATTAAAATAATAAAGAATGAAATATTCTAAACGAAGAAATGAAAATTTTGCCCTATAAGTAAATCTCGATATGGAGATAAATGTGGAAAATTTGGACCTTAAAAGTGAAGTGGAAAAGAACACATCGGACGATATAATTGTGGTTTCAAATAAGATGTCTCAAACAATAATAATAAAGAATTTATTCATTGTAAGTTTTGCATTTATGTTACACTTCAGTGCATTTCATTCATTTACAAATTTACAAAGTACATTAAATAAAGAAGAAGGTCTGGGAACAACAGGTCTTGCATTACTGTTCAGTGTTATGGTGCTTACAAGCCTATTTATAGCCCCGATAAGCATGGGAAGAATATCTACTAAGTGGATAATGACATGGTCGATGTGCACGTATATTATCTACACGGCAACCGGGTTTCATCCGACCTGGTATACGGTCATACCTGCGTCAGTTATTATTGGCATAGTTAAGTATCTTACAATTCATAGCACAACCATTTTATATCTATTTCTTAACAATTCCTAAATCATGATATATTTTTCTTTTTAAAACAAAATGTGTTAGTGTTGATCTTAGTATACTGTGTGACACACTTCGCTTTTTATACCCCCGAAGTGTGGCAAATTAAAATCGAACCGTCCGTCTGTCTGTCTGTCAGTCCGTCATTCTGTATCGACAGTAGTGGTCGTGTCCGCCCTGAAACTTCATTATGCATGAAAGGATACTTAATTGTTCAGTATACATGAAATGATTTCTTTTACATATGAAATAATCATATGTATTTTGTGTGTGCAAACACGACTCGAGGTTTCTACGGGTTAGGTCAAGGTCACTGTGGTGGTTCAAACTTTTTTTTATGTTATAAAAATATAGAAGTTGGTACTTGTGTCCGCTCTGTAACCTCCGTATTCATGAAAGGATTGTTCTTTTTATTTCATATGATTGAATTAACCATAGATGTATGGTGTGTCGTGAACAAGACTGAGGTTTCTACGACTAAGGTCAAGGTCACTTTTGGGGTTCAGACTTTGTCATATTTTGTTATGTAATTATAGAAGGTTGTGGTAATGTCGCTCTGAAACTTCAACATGCATCTAGGATTTTAACTTTTTTTTCATATATTAAATTACCATAGATATATGGTGTGTCGCGAATAAGACTCGGTTTCTTAGGTCAAGGTCACTGTGGGGGTTAACTTTGTCATTTTTATGTATAAAAATTAAGAAGGTGGTGGTGGTGTTCGCTTTGAAACTTCAGTATGAATGAAAGTATTGTAATTTTTCTTTCACATTAGAAATAACCATAAATGTATGATGTGTCGCGAACAAGACTCGTTCCTACCGCTTAGGTCAAGGTAACTGTGCAGGTTCAAACTTTGTCAATGTTTAAACTTTAAAAATATAGTTGGTGGTGGTCGTGTCTGCTCTGAAACTTCAGTATGTATGAAGGAATTTTAATTTTGTTCACATATGAAATAACCATAGATATATGGTGTGTCGCAAACAAGACTTGGGGTTTCTTCGAGTTAGGTCAAGGTCACTGTGGTGGTTCAAACTTTGTCGTTTTTTTTGTTATAACAATATAGAAGGTGGTGATTGTGTCCGCTCTGTAACATCCGTATTCATGAAAGGATTATAATTTTTCTTTCACATATGAAATAACCATATATGTATGGTGTGTCGCGAACAAAAATGAGGTTTCTTTGACTAAAGTCAAGGTCACTGCTGGGGTTTAAACTTTGTTTCCCCCTTTTTTTGCTTTATAATTATAGAAGGTTGTGGTAATGTCCTCTCTGAAACATGCATGAAAGGATTTTAATTTTTCTTTCTTATATGAAATATCCATAGATGTATGGTGTGCATTTTATATTTTATAAATAAAAATGGTGGTTGTTGTGTCCGCTCTGAAACTTCGGTATTCATGAAAAGATTTTAATTTTGCTTGCACAGATAAAATAACAATAGATATAGTGTGTTGCGAACAAGACTGGGTTTCTACGATTAAGGTTAGGGTGGCTCTGGGGGTTCAAACTTTGTCAATTTTGATGTTGATATACATATGACAGAGACTGCCGTGTCTGCTCTGAAACTAATATGCATGAAATGATTTTATTTTTTATTTCACATATGAAATTATCATAAAATGTATGACGTGTTGCCCTTAAGATCCGTTTTCCTACGCCTTAGTTCAAGGTCACTGCTGGGGTTTAAACCTTTTCAATATTTATGTTATATACATATAAATGGTGGTTGTTGTGTCCGCTCTGTAACGTCAAAATACATGAAAGTTTCAATATTTATTTAAAAATATAAAGTCACCATAGATGGACAATGTGTTGTGAACAAGACCCAGGTTTCTTTGTCTAACTTAAAGGTCACTGCTGGGGTTCGAACTTTGTCAATTTTTATCACCACTTAACATGTAATAGGTGGTTTATAACTAGAATCCTTTGGGGGCATTTGTCACATTCTGTGACAGCTCTTGTTTTCATTAAATATCGTTGTATTTTAAAAATTTGTTTGAAACGACGTGTGAATTATCTCATTTATTGTACAAATTCGATCGCAAAGAAACAGTCTGTGTTCGTTCAAGATATAACGGATTATAATTGAGCGATAGAAAGAAAATAAATTCAGAAAATGAAATTATATAAATTTCAACATTGAATAATGCACATGCAAAGTTATAGCATTGCGATGTTGGCATAAGCCCTGACATATTAAACGCAGACACTAGTACCTTATACATAAAGTAATTATTTATACATGCTAATCGCTACTATGAAAATGCCTTCTTCTATTTAAAGAGCAAACGTTTGTATAAACGCATATTATTTGTAGGTGCCGCTCATTTTTGGTTGGCAATGCCAGCGTATGTTATTGACATTGCTAAGGGTTACGCCCAAATCACTGGCACTGTGGATCAGGATAGAGTGACCTTCTTTTTTGGTATTGTTTATGCTGCAATATATACGAGTAAGTACATCAACATTATATTATGTTAAAGACGAATAACTAAGTACTCGAAGCAACGTGTAAGAACTCTTAATTCAAGTTGTAAAACATATCGGATAAAAACTTTGGGAAATGAACCGATACCTTTCCAATTTTCATTGAATTAAGATATGCCTTAAACTATGATAATTATTTGTAAATATCTACTGGTTTCACCCATTAAGAGGATCTCCAATATAATTAATAACGTGATAATGACGCCATTCACTATCAAATAGGTAACCAAAAGATATTTTCAAATAATGATTGTCATTGCTTTGGAAATATATCTAATGCAAATCCGAAAGATTGTGTTTATCGGTGTGATATATATTGCATAATCTTCTATTTCTTAATATCACCTCAATACCATTAAGTTTGCTATTTCCGAATTTCCAGTTGTTATCTTCCCTCTAGACGGTCCTACTTAGTATAACTTTTTTGCGATGAAAATACACATCAAATTTAATTTAGTGTAAAATATGATGGTCTGTTTACTATTGCACAATGCCTGCACAATTTTTGCATTCCTATGTTACTGAAATATTAACGGTGAAATTGTACAAGCAGAAATAAAACTGATAAAGAAATAAAGCAAATTAACCTTTGCTTTTTGCGATATAAAATCGCTTATTGACATTTTAGGTCACATATGGGGAAACCTATTTTCATCTATGGTATTCAGACAGGAGGGTACTAACGAGACGTTGGAGAGTAAAGACATTCATTGTGGACCTTCATATTGTCCTTACAGAAAATATAACATTTCAGCTATTGTTCCGCCTTCACAAACGCAGGTTATATGTTAAGTTAATATCTAACACTTAAGTTTTCATCGTTACAATGTAATCTTTGAAACAATAACAATGTATTACCTAGTCTGATGATATTCATGTAGGCTTACATCGTGTTATGTAATTTTTAGTAAGGATTCATTATTCTCCATCATTAAAGCTGTTTTGTCAGGTCAAGAATTTACTTCATTTATTTGAAAATGTATTTATTAGTTATTTATGTTTTGTCATTAAATGATGGTGCGATAATAAACTGTTATCTAACAGTTTGAACGTTATATATATCTTCACACTAAAGTTTAGTTATAGTCAAAATAAACATTTTTATAAACATAGCTATTTGTTTCTGGTTGTCTTTACATAATTTTTCTTTCAGTTTAATCATTACACAGGCCCTATTCGAATTTATCTGATCCACGATATTTCTTAAATCAGTTTTCAATAAGGTACACTGTCAAGTGATTCTTTATGACTGCTTTTTGTTTGGCCCACTTTCTGTTTCAGTGACCAGTGTCTTTAAAGTTATGGATCAGAACGTATGCTTTATTATTGTAGGTGTACACATTTACAGGATTTTGTTCAGGAATAACCGCCTTTGCAATATTGTTGGTAATCGTCTTTTTGACCAACATAAGCACTGACAGCGGAAAATCGCATAGTGCTTGTAGACAAAGTCGAATGGTGGCAACACACATGTTCCGATCCAGAGACCAACAATTATTATTTTGTTCTTCAATATTTAGCGGTTTAGCAAGTGGATTTCTCATTGGAGATTTTACAAGTGTATGTATCACGTGCTGAATATTGGTGTTTTTTTTCATACAAAATATATGCAAAATAGGGGAGCTATTTCATGCTTGAGTGGAAAGTTTCTTTATTCACTTTCTTACTGCATTCCAATGCTTTGGCAAATATACAAGCTTATTTGAAAAACAAAAGTGATATATTTGTTGAAAATTTATCAAATGCAGTTTTTATCCGAATTTCATCAGTTTTTTTTGTCAAGTGTAAATACCATGGTTTCAATCGTCTGATCTTTCAATTGTTTCTTATCTGTTTCTGTTAGGCACCCTTCTTTTGAAGTTGTTCTAGTGGGTAAAGTTAAAATATATCATATGCATTTCTGATTTCAAAAAGAATCATTATAATCAAAATATCAGTTACATTAAATTTCCTACTTGCGTTTTAGGGAATGAATGTATCAAATGGACACAATCAATATTGGTGGATATTTCTCATCAGTACTAATTCTTCTTGTGCTTCAAAACTGGTACAATTGCTTTAAATGAAATGGTCACAATACTAATTATTGCCAGAATAAATGAAAATAAGTGTATGAAGATAAAACTTGGAACTTTGGTTGTTGGAGTGCTTTTTAGCTTAACTATGTTTTATGTGTGTTATGCTTGTCTTATATTTCAGGCATACATTAGTTGTCCATACGGGATACAAAATGTAGGATTTGGTATGATAACATTAGGAGTGAGCCAGTCTATATTCAGTGTTGTATTTGGAAAATTAAATCAATACATTGGTCATATCGCGATATTTACCTTTGGTAAGTGTACCATTAAAAGAGATTTGCATAAATATACAACTATTCTTCTGATGTAGATTGAATAACTAAGACTTATTTCAATTCATTTATATCAACAATATCTATTATTATAATTTCAAGTGTTCTTTTTCTAACATGGCTTGTCTTAAAACATCTCGGTGACTCTGTTGGCGTATGTATTTTGTCCAACATGTACATATATAATTACGCTTCAATCCTTAAATATATAGTTTTGATATAGAAAGCCTTGCTAGGACTTTTAAGCATGTCATCTGAGAATGAAATGATTGAATAGGATCAATTTAATATGTTTGTCATACCTTTGCCTAATTATCCTGTTAAATATCCTGTTTGCTGTAATTAAGGTTGGTACGACACTGAAATGAAATATGTATGCTTCTAAAACAGTTTCTAACATCGACGAATCTGTAAAATAAACACTGCAAATATTTGTCAACAATAAATGCAATCATTAAAATATATGTATTTATTTCTTACAGAAAAAAAACGACTTAGACTTTATAATAGATTAATTTCTAATTACACCCCTTTATTGACTTGGAAAATTAATGTGCATTCTTTTCTGTGATATCTTTACAAATAATACTTTGTGGAACTTACAATATTGATAAATCTTCATTTTGAGCAACATATTTATTGATAAAAAATCCCAGACAATTTTGATACATGTTCTTTGTATAATTCATAGTTGACAAGGATGTTTTACTATTAGGTAAAAGGATCATTTGATACGTACAAATAATTGTCTTGATTAAGAATTCTCAAATTAATAGGGTATTTTATTGTTTCTTCGATATTAGAATATATCTATTCCAATTTCAGGTAGACCCTCTCTAATGCTTTCCCGAAAAATATTCTAACATCTGCCAGTATCGTAATATCGGTATTCAATGATTTTTGGCCGGGTTGCACAGGTGCATTTTCGGGCGGCGGGCGGTAATAAAAAAAACTGTTTTCTCAGCAACTTTTTATCACAGCCTATTGTATTTTTCATACACCATTAACTAGTAGTCCCATATCCAGGGATTTGATTTCATGTTTGCCGCTCATCCACTACCTGTTTACCGACTTAGTTCAATTTTAGACATTGATGGTCAATGGTCAGTTTTCTCAGTAACTACTTATCACATCCTCAACATCATTATATACTACACGTACTAGTCCCATACAGTGGTTTTTAGTGGTTTTTGATTTCAGGTCTGTTTCTTATCCACTTCCTGTTTACCGACTAATGTAAACTTTTGATATTAATGGTCAATGGTAAAAATCTTTTGTAACAACACAGCATCGTGATATTTGGTATACAAATGCAACTCGACCTTTTCTGTCTTTGAACCATTTTTAACAGTTTATAAGTGGAATTTAGCAAAACGCGATTAATGATTAGTGATTGTATAAAATCTAATGCCTAAGAATTTGTAAACAGAATCTTCCGGAAATTACTGTTTTTTATACGTTTTGGCGGGATAGCATTATATTTGGACTGCCTTATTTTTTCTTTTTGACAGGTTCAGTGGCACAAGCCTCATTTTATATAACATTGTTGTTGTGGCATCCATTGCCGAACCAGTCATTTATAGCACATGTGCTTGCTGCTATTGCGGGCATATCAGGAGCAGCCATTGAACCAGTTTTAACAGGTATTTGTTATTTACACGGACTTATTGATACTTGAAAAAAATCATTTTAGTAGTATTTAAAAAAGTAAACTTTAAGCAAACTTTAGTATCTGTGAGTGTAAAATGCTAGTTTGAATACGAATAGTGATTAATCAGTATAACTTATACATAACTGGTTATTGTACATTAAAATTTTACATAATTACATCCTTTCAGATATATCATACACCAAATAATTTGATCGATTCACACCAATTATATAAATAATTTACGATAGATCAACGATAAACAAAAACGTAATTTGTGACCAAGGCATACAGATCTAACACATCTCACAGGAATTGTAAAGATATGAAGAAAAACAATATGAGAGATGTTTTTACATTGATTATAATAAGAAAATACTCCTACATCAGAATTCCCTAAACCCCAAATATTATTACGTAGATGTGCATGCAAACGTTCTCGTTTATTTGCATTTGCACTTTTAAATGCATTCGCCATATGCATAAAAAAGCGTAAGATAATAATAACGACAATTATAACCACAAATCCGTATTTGCCGCGTATTATACTAAAACTCGAAAAACACATAAACACATTACGCTACTTGCATTGTCAGACGATATTTTTTAGCTTTTACTGAAAACGTCGTGTACGTTTTCTACTTATCATGCACTGGTTGTCACTTTATCATCTGTATAGTCTGATTTTGTTGACTTGCCAATTATGAATACATTAAAGCACTCATATAAATATCTTATCCCACTTCGGTTCTGTCAGTGTAGTTAGTGTATGTGAATTAATCAATGTTTTGAAAAGTCATATATTTTAATGTTTAAGTCGTCGTCACATCTACACATAAGAAAGCAAAAACAAAACAAAAACAACAAAAAACATGGACCTACGAGGTTTAAAACACGTAGGACATTTAGAAATTATAGAAGTTAATCAAATTGCGCTGAAACGCTCAGTATCATTATTTCAAGGACACAAATTAAATTAAATCACGTATTACTGCGTTCATCTCATTGAAGTTTCCGAAAATCTATCGAAGCAATAAGTATTTCGTAATATAACGCATGTACGTACGAGCGTATTATATAACATTGGCATTCTACAAACGTGCAGTGGTCGTATAGTCAGTATGAAGTTGAAAGGTTAATACAACAAACAATTGGTGAATATTCAAATGTTTGGTAAACAAACTTAATTTCACTCTCGATGAAAATCATTGGAACATGATTGATTCAAATTGTTTTGTTTCCCTCAACATTAGACTTATTATCTCATTATATTAAATTATCTTTTTACACCGCTACTGCCAATTTATAAAAAAATAATTATTATAATTATTATAAGCAAATATGGTGTGTTATTGATCCGTCTTATAGACAAAAGATGAAATCCGTAACATGGCATATGTTGGGATGGCCAAGCTTATCTCCGGGTAAAAACTTTTACCGTAAGAATTATCGATGACAATAGTTTAGCCTGCCTGTTGCGCATTTATTTCGAAGCTGTAACTGTAAAATTCTCTTCGTATCCCCGGAATCGAAAATATTCTTATTGACTAATTAAGTATGACGTTTATACTGAGCCATATAACATATCAAATAATCCAAGGCTTCTCTATTTTTCAGCTCTTCATAACCTTTATTTTGTCGAGAACAGGGACATTGCTCTATCTAGCTTTCGTCTTCTCAACTCAATAGGATGGGCAATATCCTTCGGATACAGTAACTGGCTGTGCTCAAACGTTAAGATGTACATACTGATTGGTGTACTACTTACGTCGTTAGCAACAGTAATTTATCTCGATGTGAAGCATAGACGGAGGAGAAAAAGAAGCAAACACCACGCAATAAAGGAATAGGATATGGTTCCAGAAGATCTGATTTCAAACTGAATTTTATAAACCATTGAATAATAGCAGCGTTTATTACTTTATAATTGATGGTGGTTATTGAATGAAACTGTATAAAACAGTGTATTCAAGTTTAAAAAACATTTAAATAGGGGATATTGACAGGTGTAGGTTTCGTACTAAATTTATATGTTGAACATAGGTGAATAAAATCATATTTGAATGATATGAAACCGCTTGCTTGCAAAGCAATAAATATTTCGTAATATAACGCATGTACGTACGAGCGTATTATATAGCATTGGCATTCTACAAACGTGCGCGTCGTTTGACGACAAATACCATATTTATCAATGCTTTCACTCATATATAAAATGTCTCACATTCATTGACAGAGCCATAAAATTATTGCATTCAAAGAATTCAATTAATTTAAAAATGTTTAAAAAAGATATCTGAATATAATATTTTAGTCACACCCCTATCGCAAAGGAAAGACATACATAGTCAAAAAGTTTTATTTCATATATATATCAGAAATTGTTATTCACTATCATAAATTACTTTAATGTAGATTAATTATAATGAAGAGACAATATTTTGTCAGTATAGACAGAATTTTAATCTTTAGAATACATTTATATGCTCCCTATTTAATAGATAAATACAGAATCCCTAAAGAAAGCCCAACACGGCAAAATTGAAGCAACACACATTGATATGATACTGCCAAGTTAGGTAAGATTAAGAGCGAAATCATCTCCAAAGAGTTATATTTACTCGTTTACAATAATGTATCTTACTAATCGAGTGAATTTTTTCGCTATCTGTCGTCAAATATTTGTTTAATAGATATATATCTGTTGACCTACGTTTTTACTCGTATATAAAATTCTCACATTCATTGCCAAAGACAATGACTTTGTAAATTGTATATTGTACTGTTTCTGAAAGAATAAACTTCTTTTTACCCCTTCAAAGATTTTATAAATAGGCTAAAGTTAGGCCTATATGCAGTTCATAATGACAGTAAGACAGTCAGATATTAATTCCATACTGCATATTAGTCACTGCTATATTAATTAATTTGTTGGACCTGAAATAACCATACATCCAAACCATTTTTGCAAATACATATTAGCCAAGTCTCGTAAACAGGACACTGCAAGCATTGAAGATCTAAAACGCATTGGCCGAAATTCAGAAAGATAAAGCTGAAGTATCAAATAAACTAGTCTGCTCAGCTCAATATATGCTAATGAAGAACAATTTAACAAACAAGGAGGAAAACCAACATTTTTCTGTGCCGAGGATTCATGTCACACTTAGAGGGTTCTCTATCGGCTAAAAAAACTTAATGTAAAGAAAGCCAGCAGTCCTGACTTTACAATGATACCAGAGCTTATTCTTAAGATAACAATTTTTCGACATTTGTCTTATTATGACAAATTTCAAACCCAGACATGATTCGTATGTATGTGCCAAAGACTGCGTTATTTTAAAGAGACATCCGTAATAACTCCTTATTCTTCTACGTACTGGTGAATTCGTTTACTGCCACTACTGCTATTCTTTTTAATTTGATTTAAGCTATGACAGACGGAAAACTTTATTTTCACTCCAGGTATTAAAATACAAAAGGAGGATATGCAAAATAATATATCTAGCCATATAAAGTTATGATACCTCGTATTACCTTACAAATACTTGCTTTGTTTTTTTTGCTTGAAACTGTATATAAATCGTGTTTGTGTCCCGTTCCTTACATATCATACCATTCCCATTTCATTATTCACAAACCAATTACCTATGCCAAATTTTTTCCCAAATATCACGGATGAAATCCTTTCACGGAACTTATCAAAACAGAATAAATTTGCAGACGCAGCTGTGCAAAAAGAAATTCATGGGTGATATCGAACAAACTATTTTGATAAAACAACTACTCTGACTTATGTTAAGAACTATCTTCTCTATTAAATCATAAAAGTATTACAACATACTTATTGCGACTTATTGCGGGTCAAAGCACAGACTACAGTTTATTTAAACATGATTGAAAGAAAAAAAAAACGTTTACTAAATGCAACTTATTGTTTTCATTTTAGGAAAATATTAGGCATTTCGAATAAATTTGCATTCCAAGTTAACGGACATATTTGTAAAATTGCAGATTTATGCCCACGGTTATTGTTCAGATTTTAATTAATAAGTCATAAAATGATTGAATTTGTTTTAAAACTTCAGGCGCAAGCGCTGACACTGCACGAAATCAAGACAGCGCTGAGGAAGCTGAATACCAAGAAATCTCCAGGACCAGATGGTATCACCAACGAATTGCTTATCCATCTAGGGCCTTCAGCAATGAGCAAACTCCTTGATATTTACAGCCACAGTTGGAGTCAAGGGCAACTTCTGCAAACATAGAGAGAGGCGATCATGATCCCCATCCTCAAGAAAGGGAAGGACCCGAAAAAGGCTGCAAGCTATAGACCTATCAGTCTCATCAGCTGTACTGTAAAGACAATGGAGATGATTGTAAATGCACGTCTCAAATGGTACCTCACTTGCCTCACAACAGGCTGGCTTCCGTCAATTCCGCTCCACTGATGACCAAACTACATTCCTTGCACAAAAAGTCGAAGATGCCTTTCAAGAACAAAAGGTGGTCCTGACAGCATGGATCGACCTCCAGAGAGCTTTTGACAAAGTTTGGATCGACGGACTGCAAGTAAAACTAATGCGTAGCGGGGTTGGATGAGCCATGGTGCAATGGATCAAGTCATATCTCTACAACAGAAGAGCCAGTGACCTTGAACCAAGCTACAAGTAGAAAATTCCTCCGACACTCTTTCTGATGTTTGTACAAGATCTAGTGTCCGAACTGCCTAGAGAAGTCCAAGCTGCCCTCCATACTAACGACCTGGTGCTATGTTGTAAAGAGGAGCATGCCGCCGCAGCTAAATACAGATTGCAACAAGCCATTGACAAGCTTAACGCATGGGCTGATGACTGGTGTGTTACGATCATCAAAGAAAAATCGTCCACAACGCTATTCACCCTGTCTGCAAAGCAAAGAGCTGGGAAAGTCTTGATGGGAAGTACTCCTCTGGCTGAAGTTGATGAAGCCACTTAACTTGGCATGGCTTTTGACAAGAGGCAAACATGGAGAACTCACATAAATCATGTAGAAGGTAGGGCTCGGAGGAAACTTGCTATCATGCGTAAGCTAGCTGGTAATACATGGGGAGCTAATGAACAGATACTCAAGACAATATATCAGGACACAGTGAGACCTGCCATGGAGTATAGCTCAACAACTTGGGCAACAACAGCAAAGACAAATCAACAGTGCCTAGACAAGGTACAAAACCAAGCTCTACGTATCATAACAGGAGCTACAAAATCTACACCTATTGCTTTCATGGAAAATGTCACATGTATACAGCCCCTACAGGAAAGAAGCAGGCCAAGATTCTCCTTCAGACAGAGAAGTTCAAGTGTATTCTTGATAGCCCCATGAAAAGCAAACTGGCAGGATATACAAAGAACAGGCTCAAGCGAAGCTGCTTTGTCCATGAAGCCAAGAAACTGCACCAGAGCTAACTATACCTACCACTCCATTGAGCAGAAGAGACATTCTGGGCCTGTTGATGAACGACTTGTCTGGTATTAAGGTGAAAATCGACATCCTGCAGCTTGAAAGTGGTAAACAAGAATGTAAGAATATCCAAAAGAGTCTTACGCTTGCCATGATCAACGAAGACTAATCTAATGAGAAGTGGACCCATGTCTACACGGATGGGTCTGCCACAAGAGCAATCAAAGACGGAGGGGCCGGTATTCTCATCATACACCCATAGAGATATCGAGAACCACACCATATTGCCACTCGAAAGCACTGCAGCAACTTCAGAGCAGAGACTGAAGCACTCATGAAGGCAGTCTCCATGATCATAAACTCGTCAGAAGCTGTCTCCTCAGTGGTCTTTCTTACCGACTCACGATCAGTCCTTGAAGCCCTGATCAACAACAAATCACCAGACCTAGCCAGAACAATGAATGAACTCAGCACCATTTGCAAGGTCACCATACAGTGGATACCAGCACACTGTGGAATTACTGGCAACGAAGAAGCTGACCAGTTGGCTAAATTTGGAGCACAGTCAGAGCAACCAGACGTCCAAATCTCATTCAAGGAGAAAGTCATCATCATCAAAGCACTAAAAAAGCCAAGACAAGAGCTTGATGCATATCACTCCTTGAACCGGCCACAACAAGTGATGATGGTGAGACTACACTCAGGACATAATAGACTTAACGCACACATGAACAAAAAGTACCGACTCTTTTAATCTCCAATGTGTCCGTGTGAAGAAGAAGACCAAACTGCAGAGCATGTCCTCCAAAGATGTAAGCGATACGACCAGGAGCGAGCTGCGACGTGGCCTCAGGAAACAACCCTCCAACAGAACTATATGGTGATGTTGAGGACCTGAGACGGACCACATCCTTCATCGTAGATACTGGCGTAGTCGTGTAATTGCGAACGCCAGTAAGTAAGTAGGTAAGTAAGAAGTAAGTTTTAAAACTTAAATGATTTGAATTATGTAGATCTATTGACGTGCATGCATAAAAAACTTTGATCTTTTTATATATATATTTTTAGTCTACGCCTATTACAAATAAATGATTCATGTCTCAATTTGTAATGAGAGAAACTTAATTAGGCTGAATAAAGCAACCATTAAGTCTCCATCCTTGATAGTTCAGCTATTGTGTATTAATATATAAGGTAGGAAGAATGGTTGTAAGGATCGAAACCATGATTATGGTTGAGGGACAGAACATTGACCTCTAACACTCTGTAATGCATGTTAACAGAATAATTTACCATATTGTAGCATATGTTTAAGGTACGAGAAAAATATTAGATTTATGTATATATGACGGCAAAATTTGTAAAACATATGTTTTGTTTATAGAAAAACAGTAGTATATGAACATTCCACACAAGCTTCGAATAGGCATAAAATATATTTTTATTATTATTGCTACTTAATTGATGTGACGTATTGAAGTTTAAAGATAATTATCTGTTGACCGTTATCGTGAATCCAAATAAAGTAAATCATAAAACCATTTAGAACGTTTAAAGCACGCATTTAAACATTATCAGCGGTACTACAAGATAGATCCTGAATGCATTTACTATGTTAGTTTTAATTGATTTACGTTACCTTTATATTTAACAGGGCAAAGCTTTTAATGTATGTTCGCACAAAAATATGTCTGTGGTCTGTACTGTCCGTTAATGAAAATGAAAAGATGCTCGGATCTACTTTATGACAGAGACATAATGTGGCATTTTTGCACGACGTTCCCTAGATTCAAATTCAATGTAGGAATAACAATTCAATATGTAAATATAACTCATAAATATCTATACGAGTATATTAGTGTTAATCTTTACTGTTCTATAAAAATTAGAAACGTCGACGTAAACTTATAATAAACGACGAGTCTATTCAGAGCAACATTATGGAAGAATGATGGTTTGACCCAATATGGTTCGCCAATGTTTAAAATAAGACATAAATATGTCCGTGATCTTCGACCCTAGATAAGTACTTAAAGCTAGAATGTACCACATTATTACATTTACATGTACTAAAAATAATCTACAAAACTTATGACCATAAATTTACTTCCTATTTGACAGGAATCAAAATATAAACGTTTAAGCTTAAACAGTGTCGAATCAAACCGTTGTAGTTATTCATAATTACCGCTCCCTTTAAAAGAAGATACTGAAGTTCTTCTTAAACATTGAAAGTCTTATTTCAAGCACTCAAATGTTATAGATTTACAAATATATTTTAATGAACATGTCCTCACTCCCGAGATGTTACGGTTGTTTTATATTTCATTACGACTACTGCTATTGCTGCAGTTGCTGCGACTTCGACTCCGACGTCGACGGCGGCTGACGCTGTGACTGCGACGGCTATGGCTACGACTACGACGACGACTCGGGCGATAACGCCGCCAATGACAACCACGCTGACGCTGTGACTGCGACGGCTA